ACGCGGGGCTAAGTAGTAATTTGTGACAAGTTCTTTCCTAATGATAGAAGCGATTTAATAAGTTTCTATAGATGGATTTCCTGTCGCTAAGCAACGCTGCGCTGTACTTTCGCACGTATCGAGAGCGAAGCACCGCAATCTCGAATCACTGTGTTGTTTACGAATGGATATTGTTATGTATATCGACAAATAGATGATCACAGCTCGCAACTGCAGACAGGAAATTAGATTGAGACATTCCTTTCAGCATGAAATCTTATTTTCTTCCTCTGCTATCATTTTTTTCTTGCACTTCTAATGTGATTTTCCTCATCTATTTCTAGTACTATCCCAGTCTTCTTTTCATCTAATCTTTCTTTCCTTCTCATTTAGCATTGCTGCAAGTTTGGGTGCTTTTTGGGCGTTTTTCTCGTGAGCTAGTATTTCAGGTGGAATTTTTATTAATGGCATGGCATTTTTATCAGGTCCTGCTCTCATAAGCACAGTCCATTACCTTAGGAAGGACCCTAACCTTTTTCCTACTAAAAGCTTCCTTTGTGGACTTGAGTCTATTGTGAGGCTCCCCATCATCCATTGCATATGAAGTTTCTAAGAAAAGATTCCATATGTTTTCCTGAATCTGCTCTCTTGGCGGGACTAGTACAATATCTTTCGATGAAAATTGTACTTGAGAGAGGAAGTGGGAGGGGGGGGGGGGGATTCTCACAATAGGTCTCACTCTCCAGATAAATGAGAAGACCTTCATATCGTTTACAGTTAAGGCCAATCATTTTGAAAAGAAATGTCAACCGCGTAAGTAGCCACTCTAGCATTTGGAAGCACAACAACCAGCTTCTTCCATTACAAACATTGGGAAGAAGTACCACTCAGAGGGTTTGCTTTTTGCACCAGGAAAATGTATCACGCAAGAATTCCCTCCCCTGCAAGGAAAGATTACTGTAGGCGCCTCGAACTACTGTATTACGGTAACCTACCCCTCCCAACCGAACTTGTGCTTTGATCGCCTCCACTTTCATTCATTTCCGGTGGTTTCAAATATGTACACTGCGTTTCGTCTGTGTCCTCAACTTAATCTCCTAAGTCTGCATGTGTAATTTTTCAATGATTCAACTTCTCCAAATTTGCGTTCGCATGTGAACCTGTGTTGGATAAGATTTACTAGCGCTTTTTATATTTTCGATATTTTGAACATTTTTGATATTTTTGCGACGCCTCGTTGGGTCCAGTTGCGACCCCCTGTTTTTGTTAATAAGAGTGCTAGACATGAATCCGTTGCGCCAGAAAGCGTCTGCGCGTCGTCGCGTCGGCCTTGGAGCGCGGCAGGTATCACCCGGGCGCTGGAAGAACGGGACGCGGCGAAGAAAAAATTTTAGAGGGGAATAACTTTCTTGGGACGTATTTTTTGACTTGTTGAGGTAGATTTTGATTGTGCCTGAGGTGCGCTTCCAGAAAACTACAAGGATTGCCTAACTCTCCGGAAAGTACTTCTGTTAGAAGTGGAAAACCCAAAATTCTAAGAAGGCGCACCTTCAACTTTGAAGGCCCATAAAATCTTTCGTATGCGACATTTTGGAAATCTGTAAAAATTTCGGACTTCAAATATTTCTCTAACAAAATAGTATAAAAAGTTTAGTGATTGTCCCCTTTTTCAAAAAATTGTCCCGTTCGAACATTTTTCGTGCAAAAGCGAGTTTTTGGGCTTTCAGCGACCATAACTCACTTCATTTTCATTTCTGTGATGCACTTTTTCATGGGTGAAAGTACAGGATTTGCTCTTTCTAACAACCAAACCGTTTTTCAAAGTTCATTTTTCGAGAAAATCACACGTTCGAACATTTTGGGGGGTTTTGCCGAACACTTTTTTTGAAATCGCGAGTTTTTGGGCTTTAAGCGGGCATAACTCACTTCATTTTCATTTCTGTGATGCACTTTTTTCATGGGGTGAAAGTACAGGATTTGCTCTAACAGACCAAACCGTTTTTTCAAAATCATTTTCCGAGAAAATCACACCCTCATCGAGTTTTTTTATACGAGGTTTGAGCAGCACATGCGAGTTTTTGAGCTTTCAGCAATAATAACTTCCTTCAAAGAACTTGTTGGGGAGGGGCGAAAGACATTTTTGAAGACTACGAGATTTCTGCTTTCTTGTGTTTTACCGTTGTCTGGAAGAATCGTCCTCAGAAAATTAGGTCCCGAAGAACTTTAATTTCAGCCCCGAGAAGTCAAACCTTTCATAGGGACATTCATGGACCGTTTCGCCTCTGCCAGAGAAATTTCCGCTGCGTGGGCCTCATCCTGTTTACAGTTCGTGAAGGACAGCTGGCACAATCAGTGTTCATTATATCCCCCTTGTATTGTACCACTCCATCCCTTCGTCTCCTACACCATCTACACACCTCGCCTGTAACGCCACAACGCCTAATTCCAATCCTACTAACATATAAGTATTATATTTGTTTGTATGGTGTATGTCAAAAGTTTGGTGTATGCTAAGTGCATCAGGGTGTTTGATAACCGGCCTGCTTTTCTCGTTCGATGAGACGAAATCGTCAGTGTGTCGTTAATGTGCCTATAGACTGTTCGCAGACAAAACTACCGTGTTCGCACAAAAGCTCTCCATAAGTTGTTACTCAACTAAAACTCTTTTTCTGCATTACAGTTTGACGTCAGAAATGTTATCGTTGGCTATCAAAAACAGCTGTTAATGTGTCAAAAAATCTTCTCTTACAGTCGCTTTCCACACTTCTGCAAGTCCCGTAGCGATGTCTGATGGGAATGCCGACTGGGTAGCCCAAAATTTGCATCGACAGGTGAGGAGTTTTCGTATAAGGGGTGAATTCGTAAATTTCGCTTCATCTTTTCATACTTCTAATTGCAGAGGAAAATCTTGGAAGAAAAGCAGCGACAAAAGCGGATAGCATCCGCAACTATCCGTAGTAATCAACTGCCAGCGTCTGGATACCATTCACTGAACTCGTCGACTGGGTAAGTTAGGCATACCTTAGTATTACGAATGGTACCATAATCATTGATTTCAGGTGGATTCGCTGCACCGCCTTGCTATGATGGTCCATTGTCGACTTGTGCTGATCCTGACGCGATCGGTCCTACGCTTATTACCATACCAGGCATTGAGACAATGCAGAGCAGCCCGATCTCCAGGCCGACCACATCCAGCAAAGAATCGTCAAGGTATGAATTCACCACAAGGAAAAAGTAGAGATCTTCTCTGCCCGGCGAGAACTGCTATTTGTAGTTCTTATCACCAATTAGTAATAATATTTCGGGAAGCTGAAATGGAGGGACTGTACGCAACTTGGAGGAGCAGGTCGTGGCATACCACACGTAAGTTCATGCCTCATGGATAATCCTCAGAGGACAGCCGCATACTCTGCTACTGAGGCTTGGTCGGAACCGTCTCGTACAGGGGCAACGAACTTGTGGACGGTTCTGAAGCCCACCCACGATGAAAAAAGGGCGAGAACTTTTTGACAAGTGAAGTGAAACGACTGCAGAGTTTTGTAAGTAATCCTTTGAAAACATATTGCGATCTGGAAATTCGAAAACCGCTGGCGTTAGCAGCAGCTACATGCCTATGCTTCTCTAAAGACGATTTGAAGCTCTTTGGTTTTTGTCGTAACTGGTTGTCGAAAACCTCACTGGTAGCCGGCAATATTAATCTGTACTGATTATTTCTCGCTCAATGGGCACTCATTGGTCGAATTGGTCGATGGGAATGCATGTGAAGCTGCAACGAGATGCTAGGAAGTGCAGAGTGGAGGAAAAACTAAAGGAAACTGTCCAAGACAGATAAATAAGTAAATAAGGTGCGTATTATCCGCTGGTTTTTCGCTCAAATTCGACTCATTGGCCGCTGATAAATCAACATTTGGATCTGCCTCTGTGTCTTGCTATTAATCGGGCTCGAGTCCTGACGGCGATGAACTGCAGTGGTTGGCTTAGTCAGGGGGTGTGATAACAAATGAAGTAGACGTAAACGGCAGGTGGAGCATCTTTCGAAGCAAAGCGCGTTTCATTCCGCTCCCTAAAGTGATTTAAGTATGTCACCTACCTTTTCAAACACTAGTTATATTACCCTTTCTTCATCCTCTCATTTAATGTACCACTTGTCTTTGAATCAGTGACAGCTTCAGGGACGGAAACCTTATCAAGTTTGTAGTGCTATAAAAAAATGTTTAAGACTATGAAATCCAGCCAGAAGCCTATTCGAAGTTATTTTGTAGCCAGTGCCATTGCGGAAGTGACCGTCTTGACGTTCAATTGAACGTTCTATATGAATAACTAGAAGGGGCAGCGGTACATGCATGGTCGTGTAATCAAATTTCGGTTCGAAAGTCACCCAAATCAACCAAGAATTCTATTCATTCGGAATATCTAAATGACTAGACTCGTCCGGGACGATTAAAAGTACTGTTTTGTGGACTGGCTGGTTCATTGTACCATCCATCTAAATGACCCTGAATGAGTTTATGAAAGGGTTCTTTTTTGAAATTTGTTAGAGCTAGAATTTTGCGGTCACATTTCAGCGACAGGGACAACAATTCTATGAAAGGCCTAGTAGATAAAATGGTCAAGGCCGATTTGTCGCCATGTGTCGCCAGTGATGAGGAAGAGCTCGTTGGTGAGTATTAATTGGAATTATTTGGTCTAAAAAATCATATTATCCGTTCTCTACGACAATTTTACTATTCTGATGAAGTACAAGATTGCGATTTTTCCATTCTGAGATAGCGCGAGAGATATCAATGATACAGAGAACTTCCAAAGAAAGTTCCTAAGTTTCCATCAAATTTGAAAAAAAAACACTGATCCCACTCAAAGCAACCTATTCGCAACCCCACCAGGAATCCAAACATCCACCTCTGCTATTGGATTTCTCTATGTTTGGGAATAGAGACCCAATACTTCTCATTGGATTTGTTCAATATTTGATAATCCATTTGCAATCTCCTACTTCATTTATATGTGAATTACCTGTATCACCTATATCCGACTCATCCTCGCGAACTTCGCCATTCACACATGCCAACTTTGAACCATAAATTCCGGTCCTGTGCACATCGTCTCCATTGTCAGCTGAGATTTTCACCATAGGATCGGCCACCTCGCTTTGCCTTGATAGGTCATGATCAGGTGCTATAGGTGATATATGAAAGCTCGAAATGACAGCGCCGAAGGTTATACCTAATCCTATTTGCCACATATTACACATAGTTACTTCCTCATTCATGCATCACACAAAAAATCACACAAAAAAGTTTCCAAAATGCTAAGTCTGAAATGTGGTACGTACTCCCGCTTAATTCACAGTATTACGTGAATCTGTAAATCGCATTTAGAAATAGCCGTCAAATGTCTCGTCTTTTGTGGAAAGTGCAGTGTGAGAACGAGAAAGGAACAAGACAGTTGTATTGTTCGTTTCAGTATTGACAGAAAAGGCTGGAATCTTCTAAGAACGACTTGTCTGTGTCTTTCTTA